CCGGGGGAGAGGCACTCGGGGGGCTCCCCAAATCCGCTCCCAGGTGGCGTCATCCAGGTTGGTGCGGCTTTGGGGGGGAGGGGGCAAAAAAAGCCAATTTTTGTTTGCTTCCCCTGCAGAAGCAGCATGCTTAACGGCTTTGCCAGAAAAGAGAAGACTGGCAGCACATGCATTGCTTACTATGTGTCTTAGGGCGGAAAAAAAACTGTAAAGGCGGCAGGTTGCATCTTGGAGTTCGAAAGATTTGCTAAAAATACCGGGAGGTTTTTTTCTTCTTAAAATAAGGGAACAGTATGTTACCGTGGGATATTCTTCTAGCTTTTGCCACAATCTGTTTTACTGCTGCCTATGAAAAAGCTGCCATCGGAGGTGTGCACCTGTCGCTCACTTGTTGTTTTGCTGAAGCAACTAATTGTGAAAGTACATAAAGCCACTGAAATTGTGCATTAATTAAGTGATGAAGCAGGGCTCTGAGCTCCGCTGGAATAGCAGATATAATACTGGATCCCTAGGGTACCGTTTAAAGAGCAGCTAAGCGTTTGTGCCTTGTATCTTCAGGGTGCCGGTAGTTCCTCTAACGGTGTCGGTATGTTTTCACAGCGATGGGATGCCAGAGGTTCTGTCGGTATCGAGTGTCTCAGTTGCATCAGTCCCATATTTGCAGTGCAGTCATTCACACGTGTGAGGTGTGACTTCTGCAGCATTGACTTCAGACTTTGTAAATACCAGCCTGACAAGTGAGGCCACCGGTACCTTGGATTCTGGTCAGGTGTGGAACAGCCTTTTCAGCTTTCATAATATCATTTCAGTTGTCTCTTTTAGCAGTCTGGCCAAGAAAATAATAAATTATTTATCTAAATTTAAGTTGACCTTTGCGATTAATTTAACAGAGACTCAGATTCATGCCCAATTCCACTAATCGGGCTAAGTGTAGCAGTAAACATGCAAGAAGATTAAAAACAACCATTAAAAAATTTCCCAACTCTTCTGTTTGACTGGGATACTTTGCTGCTGCTGTGGCCCTAGCTGAGCGGACGTTGCTGAAGTGTGGGCACGCTCAGGAGCACACTAAAATTGTACTGTCAAAGCCATCTCCTTCAGGTGCTTGGGGAAGGAGAAGGATTTTTCTTGTGTCCCATGGACTGATGATTAGAAAGCTCTTCTGGCTTTAGTACCAGTTGCATTATGCTGTTTGCTTTTTGGCAGCTTGGCTGTTGGCCGTTTGTGGTGTTGCAGTGATTAGTTTTTGGGGTTTTCTTCTTTTCAATAGGGAGGTTGTATGCAAGTCCATTCACTACGTGTTGAATGAAGTGTCCCTGTGAACCTAGTAATCAAGTGAGAGCTTGCTCAGAGCAGGTCGGTACCTAGTATCCAAACTATTCCTTCTGACAGAATCTGTAATGTGCCTATTTCTCTCTCAGAGAAAAGATGAGTTATCCTTTCCATCACGCTGCACTTGAGAAACTAAGTGGACCGGTGGGAGAGAGTAGAGACCTGAGAGCGGCTGAATCCTAGAATAAATGGTCTTCGTGGAAAAATTACAGGAACTGGAGCTCTTCATAATAAAGAGAAAATCGAAAGGAGGTTGCTGCAAAGAGGAAGCAGAAAAACAAAAAAATCTGTGTTGGGTAGGAGAAGTAGTAACGGGCTTACAGTATGAGAAGAGGGTTAGGTGCTGGGAATCTTTTTACTGACAGTAAGAGTAGTGAAATGCTGAATTATTTCCTGGGAAAGCTGTTCAATCCTCATTATTGGAGGCGGTTAGGACATGTTAGGCTGGCATCAATCAGTCATGGCTGCTGAAGAATTGATCTTGCTCTGTGATAGGACTGGACTGTATAAGCTTCCCGAGTCGATAGATGATATGAGAGAATAGGTAGGAAGAGTCTGTGTAATATATGTGTAATTAATATAGTGATTATATTAGTTATGTCTGTGCAGCGTTGTTTTTAGTACAATAAATTCTACTCTTTTACTTCTCAGGATGGCTGGTTTCTAGCAGAGGTGATAAATGGGCTTTCTTGAAATAGGGTGGAAATGCTACATGGTCTTATGGATGAGTTCTTTCAAAAGGGATATAAAATATGCTGGAAGAGCCTCGACCGATTGTCCAGACTACTGTGAGAGGACAGTACTTTAAAACAAACAAACCAACCAACCCCTCCAGATGGGTAAAAGGTAAAGAAGGAGGTTGCGATAACATCAAACGGTAGAAAGGGCAAGGAGGTCCAAACTCTTGACTAAATATTTGGTTTATGAAAGTTCAGATGGGAATATGGTAATATTGGGAGGTGTAGGGCTTGAATGAAGCATTCAACAGCTTTCTTAAGAGTTTTGAAAGCTGAGATGGTTGGGAAAGGTCCGCGGGCTCAGCGTATCAGTGTGGGATTATGGAGGACGCAGCGAGTCTTCATGTTCTGTCCTAGCTGAACAGTATCACAGGGTGTGAGAGGTCTTGGGAGGAGGATGCAGAAAATTTGAATGAGGAATTAATTTATTGATCTCAGAATAGGAAGAAGCAGGCAGGAGGAAGTGTTTACTGATACTTGTGAATTTCCTCTCTGAAAGAGATGTTGTGCCTCGCAGGATGACTGTGAAGGGCAAGGAGAGAGTCAGTTGGCATAACCATGTGGAAAGTGTGGCTGGAGCGTCCATAGTGTTGGAAGAACATGGCAGAGCTGAATAAATGGACTTATAGCAGCAATATCTGAGGCTGCATCTGTTTCCACTCTCCCAGTCTCGCTTAAGCATACATGAGTGGAAGAAGCCTTGTAGAGGAGGAGAGAGTCAGCAAGCACCTTTGCAGTAGAGAAACTGCAGAAGTAGGCTGGAGGGGTTGTAATGTCAGGGGGAGTGGGTGGATGGCTACAGCTTTGGAGATGAGTACAGCTGAATAGTTCGTAGAGCGAAACATCAATAGTATTGGTGTTTGTTTTAAATTGGTGCAGTAAGCGCTTCCTCATTAGGAGGGAGCTATGGAGATTTGATGCATTGCTGGGAGGTTGCATGTGAAGACGGGAGGTGAGAGAGGCAGGTTTTTTAATCGGGCCAAGGTAACTTCTGCTGGTGGAAAGAACAGAAATGGCAAAAGTTGGTATCGGCAAGCAAGATGAGGTGGAATAAAAGTATTGTATGTGGTTTCTTCTTTTATACACCAGCTACATGAAAGAAGCGGCAAAGGATGGAGAAGCAGCAAGAGTGGCGGGGAGGAGGCCGCCTGGTGCTGGTCAGCAAAGGGTTGGGCTGTTACAAGGTGTGCTGTGGGGTATGAAGTGCACAGTCCTGTGCATGGACTTTTTAAGCAGTGGGAGTGGAACCAGGATGGAGCCAAGTGCTTGGTGGGCGATTAGGTGGCATTTCTTAGTTTAGTGGTGTTTGCTAGGTTATAAACTGGTGGGAAGCATAGCAGCCATAAATCATGACACTACCTACTAATTAAGGCCCTTGTCCTCCAAGGGCCTTAATACTGTTTCTGGTGCTTAATACAAAAATTGCTGCTATTTTCCTGTTAGACAGCTTGCGCTCAGAGGAGTGTGGAGAGAGAATTACAGTGAATGTTCCTTGGAGGAAACTTCCTTATGAAGAAAGGGGCTTCCCTTCCTTGACTCCTACTTGTTCTGGGTGCTGTGGGTGTTGAGGGTAAGCTGCCAATGGCGAGAGCTCCACACCGCTGAGATGCAGTGGGGCTGGGAAGCAGTCCTTTGTGAAAAAGGTTCACAAAGAAGTAAGCTATAAAAGTTTCTCAAATATGCAGTGGTGGACAAAGGACTTAAATAAAATGCTCTGCCTTTGCATGTTGAATGCCTAATCTTCGTGGCTTTTTTCCTACAAAGATTAGAGTCTCTTGTTATTGTGTTTCTTAGTGCATGTGGCCAGTGGTTGAGTAATGTTGGATTGGTATGTAATCAGCTGGTTCAGATCTGGAAAAAGTACCTGTAGAAAATCAAGGGCTCTGCTGTATGTGGAGTTCCTATGGTAGTTAATCCTGGCAATTCTGGGTGGATCAGGAATAATGACTCCTAGTGGCAACTTCTAAGCCTAAAAAGGAAAAACTGAATCTAATTGAACTGCAGCCAAATTTCAAGTAGGTATCGGGCAACCTGCGGGTTTTTATCTCAGCTCCAGATGAGGACCAGAATTACTTGTGTCGATCAGTCCTCCAAGCAGGGTAGGATTTTGGTGCAGGTAGCCCTGTATTAAGGATGCAGTACAGAGCATATCCCGCAAAGATGAGAGGACTCTGTGCCAAGGAAAGGTGTCCTGGGATGTGAGAAGCCTTGGGAGGAAGATGCAATGGACGTGGTGCTGAAGCTGTCCTTTACTTGGCATAGATACAATGTGTATTCAGTGATAGTTTGTTTGGGTGTTCCCCCCCTCCCCCCCATGCTATGGCTGAAACTGTTGCAGCATCAACTTCCAGAGAAGTGGTAGTAGAAGAAGAACAGAAGTAATAGTGTGGTAATAATTTCCCTGGTGGGCCCCTGCAACGAGCTCAAGCCCTTGCTGTCACAAGCAACAGTTTATTGCCCTACTGTTGCCCATCTCTTGAAACAAATTTATTTACGAGGTGAATCTTGGGGCTCACAAAACTCACATAGCAGCAGTGACTGGCTGCAAGGATGGTGAGACTTGGAAGAGTATTTTGGTGTGGTGTCTGTATTTTTGCTGAGGATGGAAACTGGCAGGCTGCTTTAATTAACTGAACTTCTGTTTTCCTGACCTTGCATACTGCTGATTGTAATTTTCAAGTGAATGGTTAAAAAGCTGAAGAACTGGTGGCTGTCCAGTGGTTTGAAGGGCCATAAAACAATTATTCTCACCAGATCTTTGGCTGCACTTGTTGCCTATGCTGACCTTAAATGTTTCCCATGCTGGGACATCCATAGGAGCAGTGACATGCATACTGCAGACCAGGAAGAGATGCGTCTGGTGTCACTTTGGAAGTCAAGATGGGATGTGGCTTGCATGGCAATATAAATAAATACCAAGCCAGCAGAACATTTATAATGTCAAGGAAGCCATAGGAAGTGTTGACTTGACCATAAAGATGGGTCTCT